TAGATGAGGCAATTCGTTCTCCTGCCTCCTCCTATAGAGGGTGCTTTTTTAGAGACTTTTTTAAGCAGTTAAGCAGAGTAATTCACTGTGAGGGTGACTCTGGCAGCAACTAGCTCAGCCTGACCTCAGCTCTTGCCTTTTTCCTTTTACATTTTTTTTCTTTTCATGATGACAGTGGTGAGGCTCTGCCTCCCCTGCCTCCCCTGACTGCACGTCCCTGATAGTGACCATGGTCAATATATTTCTGATGATTGGACTTTGCACTCTGGGAATGCCTGGACTCATATTTGTGTTGAATGCAGAGGTGGTGTCAGTGCTTCTGCCCAGCTTGACCTTGTTGCACTAATTGGGTGTCTTCTTGAGGACAAAACTAGAAGTGGTGACATAGGTCTTATTACTTCTAGACTGGATTATTGCAATTCAAGCTACATCTTGAAACTGCATCTGGCCCAGAATGTAACACTGGTGGCTCTTCTCTTAAAGGATTATAGTTCTTTAAGTCCAGTGGTAGGATTCAATTTTTTTTACTACCGGTTCTGTGGGCATGGCTACCGTAAAGAACAAATTTTTCCAGAGTAGTTTGGTTGTGCAATCGATTATCTGATGGAGAGAGATTTTTCTCTATGTTTCAGTAGTCATGTAAAACAATAGAATTCTTTATGATGGAAAACACCTAGTTTGATTATTTCTAGGAATTCTATTGCAAAGTCACATTTATATAAGACCTTGTGTGGGATTATATATGTACTTCACTTGTTACCAGCATTTCTATTGATAAGTATTATGAATATTCTGAGTATTGCATAAGCCTAAAGAATGTAGTCAACTATTACATGTCTAAGCGTATATAATTTACAGTCTATGGCAGTCACTCAACATCGCTAAAGTAGAACCTTTGTTGTCCTACTTGAATCTAGCATAACATACTAAAAAAATCACCCAAATTATTTTAACTTTTTTCTTTTGTCTTTTGAACACTGCTTCTATGTATAGTGTCTAGTTTGCATATCGTTTGCACAGACAGCAGTTTTGTGAAAAGGACAAATACCCAAAGCATTATCTTTTATATAGTAAATGGGAAAGGGCAATATAGGCATAAATAACTCAGCTTCTGTAAGAACTATGCTGTTTTTGTTTGCGTGAATCTGACAGATACTTGTAGGTGTAATTTATGTTGGAGAGGGACATGGCTCCTCCTCCATCACATTCCTTTGTTGAAACATTTGCAGAAACAAGTTAAGCCTTTCTTTAATTTTTAGAAACTGCCCAGTAGTTCTCTGCAAACTTGAAATGTACGTGTTAAATTTCTTTCTTCCTCCCAGCTTTCTTACCTAATGGAATGTCAGTGATTCCATTGGAGCATACAGAAAGTTTTTAAGAGACCATCAACTTCCTGTGTGCCCCATCATATTCTGGGGGTAAGTCAGGCAAGACAGATCATGCACAATACCATGAAAAAGAGTAGGGGGCTCATGGACATACAGAAAAGTATTAGGACAATATCTTTCTGGAAACCTATCTGTGACTCTATAGTAATTAAAGCTTTTATATAGTTTTGAGATGTGGCTTCCATAATTTAACCTTTAGGTCCGTCATAGGTAGAATTTTTTTTCAGGCCTTGTATGGTACTCAAATGGTGTGTGGCAGGCTGCTGTCAAAAATGTAAACTAGATTACAGCAAAGAAATGAATGGCACCAAGACCAAATTTTAATCTGGAACTGAAATTAAATGTAATATTAGTTAAAATTAATTAAATACAATTAATACTATTCAGATTTTTCCCTTTGTGTTGATAGTAACTTTTGAAAAAGTAATCTTAGGGACTGGGCATGGTACAACTTTTCTTTAAGGAACATAAATCTGAATCGGTGTTGACAAGTTCCTATCAGATCAAGTTTAAATTCTTAGAAGTTGCTAAGGGATACACTGACTGTCCTCATTTCCAGCTTCCAGTCATACTGTGGACATCGAAATATGAGACAAAACAGAAGAGGGGCAAACCTACTTAGGATGGGAATATCAGCCTTCGAAGTTATAGTATACCCATGATAGTTAACAACATGCCATGTCAGAAAGATTGTGTGTGGGGTGTGTGTGTGTGTGTGTGTTTGTGTGTATTTCATAGCAATTTGGGTATCTAGAAAGATCTTCATATTAACATGCAACTTTGTAAAATAAATTAAGAGCATAAAACTTTCTGTAGGTTTCCTGCAGAGCAGTGGAGGGTACTTTATTCAAATAAAAAATTCAGCCTGCTACCATGCAAATTAATTTTGTAGTTTTAAACAGCTTGGAAAAAATCTTCTGGCTTCAGAAATGAACTTTTATTAAAAATACAATAGTAATATGTTGTCTAGATTAGCAGAAGTTGATTTAATGTTCAGTGAAAGTAATTTTTGCTACAACAGTTTCTGCTACTCTATATAATAAGAAAATACATTGTCTTTCTGTATGGTGTTATTTAAATATTATTATATTTACCCCAATAAAAGTCTTAATTTTTTCCTCAAATGATTTATTGTAAAATGGGGATATTTTAGATTCATTGATAATACAATAATTGAGGAAATAATTATTATTTTCTTTTATATAATCTGTTTTAGGGGAGGATTATCTTAAATTCAGGAGTACTATTTGGGCTAATATAGTAACTTTAAAGAATACCTGCTTTTGCATTCACTAAATCTGGATATCTGAAATGCTCTTTTTAACAATATGGAAGGGAATAAAATTATTTGGATTTTTTAAAAAAGTGTTTCCTATGGTCTAGGTCTGAGGCCAGTATGGCCTCACGAAGAGAGCAAAAAAGAGAACAGTATCGCCAAGTAAAAGCTCATGTTCAGAAAGAAGATGGCCGGGTGCAAGCTTTTGGCTGGAGTCTTCCTCAGAAATACAAACAGGTATTGTGTTAGATATTAACTACCATATTTTTCGGGCTATAAGACGTGCCAGAGTATAAGATGCACAAAAAAAGACATGCAGAGCGTTGGGAGGCTTGTAAAGTGCTCCTGGGGGCTGGGGGGGGGTCTCCCCAAAAACGAGCAAAAAAATGGACCGTTTTTCACAAAAAGGGGGAGGGGCATGCAGAGCTTTGAGAGGCTTGTAGAGTGTTCCTGGGGGCTGGGGCAAAAATGAGCAAAACCAGCCTGTTTTTTGCTCGTTTTGCCCTCCCCAGCTCTCAGGAGCACTTTGCAAGCCTCCCAAACCCTCTGCACGTCGATTTTTGCAAAGGGGGAGGGGTTTCGGTAGATCAAAAATGCTGTATTCAGTATATAAGACGCACCCAGATTTTCACCCCTTTGGGGGGGGGGGAAGGTGCATCTTATACTCCGAAATATACAGTACCTAGCAAAGGAGAGGTAAACTCAACTTTGCTATTATCTGTTCTTTATTGTTTAGGTATTATTGTTCCATAAGGGGATCACTGAAAGCATTTCTGCTTATAAAACAAAAACGGAAAAACACAATAGTTTGAGGATTTAGAGCTACATGTTATGTCACTATGCAGACGCATCCATTAAATAAAATAAGACTATGAACCGAAACAAATAATTATATAAAACTAATAGCTATGAAAAATTAACAACCAGTTTGAAAGGGTAATGGAAGTTTTTAAGTATTGGCAAAAATTGAAAAAGAAAACCTCATTAAATTTCAAGAGTTGGGTTTGGATAGGAATATTTACCACTTTCCTCTTACTTCTGGTACTGAAAGGGCTTTTTAAGCCTCTTGCTTCCTGCAGCAAGGAAAATCCTGGGAAGGCTTCTTTTGCAAGTTGCACTGTACCACAGGGCATAAATGGGTAAAACAATGGTACTTTACTCAATAAAATATTAAACTGTAAGAAGAGTGGGGTGGCCTACTATATGGGGTTTTTTTTGTAATGGAACATAGTTGCTGCACTTTGAAAAGTGGAAAGCATCCCTGCAACTTGCATATTTTATATATCTTGGGAACTGTAGATCTCTCTCCCATTCTCTCTATCTGTTAGGATATTCTTAGATAGGGATGTGGAAAACTTTTTAAAAAAATAATAGTATTGTACTACTCTGGGTAGAAGCATATCTACCCCTTGGTCTTTTTATTTTAAATTAAAAGTATCAGTTAACTTTCATATGCCTGAGGGTTTAATATTTTTGTATTGTGTCAAATCCATCAAAAATGGGATGTGGTTGTGTGTATCTATCTATAGGATGCCAGGCATATCTTAATGTAAAATAAAGAAAACATGTGACATTAGGAGACGTTTATAGAGATTCTCAGTCATCCAGGTCATGGTTATCCCAAAGGTGCTTTTTTCTAAGAAGCAACTGGACTTTCTGTTTTTTCTTTGAAGACGGTTCGCTTCTGATCCAAGAAGCTTCTTCAGTTGAAGAATCTTTGGGACATTAGGAGACATGCAATAGATTTGGCTACAGATTGTATCTTTATTTCTATTCCTGTCTTCTTTCTCTGTTTCTTTAATTCTTTTTCTCACACTGCCCAAACTTGCTGTTACTTAGTTTAGTTATCTTATGATCATCTCAGTATTTTAAATCTTTGGGCTTTTTGGTTTAAAATGTTATCAAGCCTATAAACAAAAAATAGTTTAACAAAAAGCCTAATCTTTTCAAAGAGAGAAAACAAATGGTCTTATAAAGTCTTATAAAGAAATGACAATATAATCCGTGCCTGGGAAAATCAAGTAGAAGCTAAGAGTTCATTGTGGATACTGTCATGGGAAAATGCCCCACTAATTGTCTATTGAAGACATGTCATCACAAGACAGCACTCATCTCGCCTTGTCTGCCTGCCTGCCTGAAATAATTGTTTCTTTTTAGTGCAATGCAGGATAGCCAGGCTAGGGGTGCCAAACTCACGTCATCACGGCAGCGTCACGTGACATATCAGGACTTTCACACCCTTTGCTAAACCAGGCGTAAGTGTAGCCAGCGTATGACGCATCTGGGCCGTTGGCTGGGAGTTTGACTGCCCTGTCCTAGGCTGTTATTCTAAGGAGCCTTTGGAGGTCCGTGGCCTGTTGGACTGTAATCAGCTGACAGGTCTGATGTTAAGGTTTCTATTCTCTGCAACATTTTGGCCATGAGGATCTTCTTGATTCATGTCCAACCGTCTTCTGGAATACTGCTGAACAACTGTAGAAATCTTTCCCTGCTGCCATTTAGTAACTGTAGCACTTCTGTAGCAAAGTGGAGTGGATAACTGTACCATACAGATGTTGATCTATTTCATAATAGCTCTGTAGCTTGCTTCCCTTTGAGCCCTTTCTTCTGTCCAAGGAGTGATGATTCTGTGGGATCAGGGAACTGAGGGCATATGACATATGGATCTTGTGCTGCCAGTTGCTTGGCACTGAAGGAAATATTTCCCACTAACCTCTGTCCTCCTTCCATGTAGGTTATCAAAGTGGCCATAACACCCATTTTTCTTTATTGCCAAACAGATTAGAGAGTCAAAGTGCAGTTATTATTTAAAGGTATTGTCTTTTTCTGCCAACTCCTGCATTGAGTAATAGCACTTTATTGCTGCCTTGAGAAAGAAGGCTAACTCTGTCAACATGTGATAGATATTATAGAAATGTGAAAGAAGGTCAAAAGAAAAAGGTGAATATGCAGAATGTTGGCATAGTGCGCTTGGTCTGATGTTTGCTACCGTTGTGGTTAACACTTCTTTTGTCTTGTTTGGAATTCTTGCTGCTTCAGAAATGACGGGATTAGGGCATTGATTCCTGTCAATATTGCCATAGTAATTTCAGCATCACCATTCCATACTTCCTTCACAAGGGGAAATCTTGACAAGAGACCTTTGATTGCTGTTAAAAATCTAATTAGGAATGTTAAGGCTTGGGCGTGGTTTAACGCTTTAGAAAATAACTTGATTTAACTTGGATAGTTGTATGCAAGTAGTTGTAACTGTTTTTATTTTTTAATACAGTGGGATGGATTATTTAGAAACACTGGGCTTTTCTGTCCACCAAGAGGTACACCTAATTAGAAAGAATTAGGCAGAGGGGTTTGGGAGATAAAGTTCTTTGTGTTCTGATTTAAAAGCTAACAAAAGGAAAATGCCCATAAGTTGGATAAACATTTCCCACAAATACATTTGAACGTTTTTGGAAGTCTCATTTGAACAATGTAGGTGCGTCCGTTTTGTCTGCTTCAGTTTATTTAGAGACTGATATCTCTGCTATAGTAGTTAAGTTAGATTGTTTCTGTGGGCAGTTTTCCATAAGCATAACTTCATTCTCTATTACAGTAGCCTCTGGCAGTGAGAATGGGTAAGGACAAAACTTTGTTTTAAGGTTTAAATTGTGTTATTTCCCCCTCTCCCAACTTCCTTTACAAAAGTCCCCCAGGTATTACTGCTTCCAGCATGAAACATAACACATGATAGTAATGGGTACTGGGTAGGCAGAGGCAATATTTCCAGTAATCGCTTGTACATCAATAAATGGCTCAAGGTGATCACTAACTTTCCAAATCCATTAATAATTTACCTAGGAATTTAAATGTTTAACTGCTCAACCACTCCTGATTTCCTAGAGATGCTTTAGCTACCAAAACCTAGATTTCATTATAGCCCAGCAAATCACAAGACGTATATGTTTCCCTCAAAGTATTCAACAGAGATCAAAGAGGCCTGTATATACTTTGAACATATACGCTGATGCTCAGAGCTAAATGAATGAATGTAATTTTAGAAGATTCCTATGGGCTATAAAATCTGTCAGAGATCTTTCACATGGGGGAAATAGACTCATGAATCATCTGGCGCCTAGGGTCTGCTGAGATTCAAAATACTTGTGCCTAGCCTTTTGGCGTTTGAAAGTCATATCCTCATAACATTGGAATATGCTAAATATATTAAAGAGGTTATTGAAAATGCTTCATTAGAATTCAGCAAGCACGGAATAATTCCTAGATGGTCTTCAAAGATTTCCTTTAGCTTAAACATGCTGTCCTTAATCTAGGCTTTGAAGCCCATGGGTATTATATATATGGTTTCATTATAATTCAGATGTGTTAAAACCACAATTACCTATACCTGAAGAATTTTCTAAAACGAGTCACATATTAATCTACCTTACATTGTATGCTGCTATTTGGGAGTTTACAATAGTCCTCCCTCATGGCCTTACCCAAGTCTCCAATTGTGACACTAAGAACTAAGGATGATAAGGGCTTCTTCTGGAAGTTACATCAGGCAAAAAGACATTGAAACTATAAGAGTAGTAAAGTAGAATAGCTGTTTGAAACATCGCTAAGGCATGGTTCTTGAGTTATATTTGCGGATTATATCAAGTATTTTTTAGTAACTACTACAGTTTTGGTCACCCGATCTCAGCGTGAAGGCCTTTGGAAAAAGTGTACTGTAAATCTTTAATTTACCAAGACTTAAATTAATTTATGCATATTTCTCTTCAGAATGCCTGTTCACACCAGAGAATTGGAATTGGTCACTGAATTGTTTCGGCTTTTCTGAGATAAAAGCTTCTAAATTTAAGCTACTGTAATTGGTGAGGAATAGACTTTCATATTTGTAGCAGAAAACTCTTCCTGTATCAATCTCTTCTTCTTTGTGTTTTAAGGGTCTGATAGGAAGAAATGCAGTCAGAATTCTTGTCTTCCTGGATTAACTCACTGTTGTCTTGCACCCTCATATCAAAATCAGTGTTACCTTTTCTTTCATTCTTTAGATTATAAATGGTGGTGCTCAGGGTGACAGCAGGATGAGGAATTTGCCTGTGCCTGTTTATCTGAGACCACTTGATGAAAAGGATACCTCCATGAAGGTAGATGAGTTTTTGTTTTCTTTGTCTCCTCTCATATACTGTAAATAAATGCCAAATTGGCTGGGGGATTGTTGGATAACCTGTGAGGGGTGAGCTGATTTGTTATGTGTCAGGTGGGTGCGGAGGTCCATTAAACCCTTGCATGATCTGAGTTGGGATTGAGAGAGCGGACCGAAACATCCTGACAGTAATGGACCGAAATAAGTATGGCAGGCAATCTCATATCAAATCAGTATTACATTTTCCTTTATTCCTTAGACATAAATGATGGTGGGGAAGGGAGGATGTACTTAGAGATATTGGGTGTGTTATTTGAAAATGGTCCAACTTGCCTGGCCCTTGTTTCTACCCTCAATGCCTGGTTATTGGATCCATGATGGCCCTGGATTATAGCGATTGTTTCTAAATGTCAGGTTGGCTTGTAGTCAAGGTACATGATTCATGATCTTATGATGGATGAGGGTACTAATTATTAAATTCAGTTACAGGCTGTACTTAAAACATTGTTATCTTATTGCATTTCCTAAAGCTTAATTTGATAAAATGTTTATCAAGCTCTCTTGTCATTAAAGCTATGGTGTGCTGTAGGAGCGAACTTATCTGGAGGGAAGACACGGGATGGTGGTTCAGTAGTTGGTGCCAGTGTCTTCTACAATGATATTGCAGCTACAGACATGGACAGCGGCAAACCGAGAAGTGCGTCTCAAAATAGCTTGGATAGATTGGATCAAGAACTCAAGGTAATGCTAGAGGTAGATTTAAAGTGCAAATAGTTTCTGCTTTGTGTTGTAGTTGACAATACTTTAGTTCGTAGTCCTGAATTTGAAATGTGTTTATGTAGGAGAAAAGGGATGCAGAGCTGGGGGGCAGAGTTAAGTGCATCATCAGTTTGTGGATTCCCACAAGCACTCCAAGCCCAACCTCTCCTGAATACCGTTGACCCTTATATGGCGTCAATTTAATGTTGAACTTTAGTTGACTGGATTCTTGATATAGGCTTGAATAAATCTTCTAGGCTACAACCTTACGAATGGTCCTGATTCTTTCCCCCTGACAGTTTGCTTTACATAGCAGGCAGTTGAATCATTATTTCAGAAAAGCTTGCCAGAAAAGACGTTAAAGAGTAGGAGCATTTTTTCTCTCCCACTATTTTTTCTTTCTTTCATGACAAACAAAAACATATTGCCTTCCATTGGATTTATTGGGAGGGAAGTAATCTAAGTCATCTCTTTGGTTAGTTAAAGAGACTGAATTACAGTTGGAATTACAGTTGGAGACTGATCTGGGGATCAGTCTCTTTAACTCCCTCTCCTGTCATTGAAGTTCTTATATGGGGAGAAATGAACTTGGGTCTCTCTGGTAGCTAGGAAATTGTTCCCTGTCAAATCTTCCTCTTTGAAAACTAGTCATGCTTCCAGGCTTTTGCTCATTCTGGGTAACTAAGGAGTATTCCACACACTCTCTGCAACCAAACACACCCAGTAACCACCTGATACATTTCAAAAGGGAACTATTAATCTACTGTGGCATTTGCATCTCTCTTCCTTATTTGCAAGCTGCCGCAAACTATTAAGAAACACTTCCTGCGTTGCCTGCTAAGCTGTTAAAGGTAGTCCTTGGCTTACCACCATTCGTTTAGCGACCATTCAGAATTACAACAGCACGGGGGGAGGGGGGGAATCGATCCTCTCCCTTATGTCTGTCACAGCATCCCCACGGTCATGTGATCAAAATTTGGCAATGAGCATGTATTTGTGATTATTGCAGGAATTATTCACTCATTAGAAATATGCAGCTAATGAAAATCGAAAAGAAAAAGTGTTTGAGAGGGGAAGTAAGTACACTCAAGCACTTACTGTCACTGTCTTAAATAAGTTGTATCTTTTCCTGGGCTCACAGAGCTGCGGTGTAGTCTCAGGAAAGTACACATTTGAGGCGAGGATTATGTAAGTAGCTATACAGTAATGTTATTATTTATTTAAATTTATTGGGTATCCAACTCCATTTATTGCATCTTATTAACACCTTCTTAATTCAGATGCATATTTCAAATATGTATCTGGCAACCGGGTGTTACTGCTCTCTCATCATAAAACAGAGGTTGTTATTGCACACTTTACAACACATCATGTGTGATACAATTGTATGTTTAAAATTATTGTTCTTGATTTTCCCTATACAGGACCAGCAAAAAGAACTGAGAAACCGAGAAGAACTATCAAGCCTTGTTTGGATCTGTACCAGTACCCATTCTGCTACAAAAGTTATCATTGTAGATGCTAACCAGCCAGGAAACATCCTAGACAGTTTCATTGTTTGCAATTCGCATGTGCTTTGTATAGCTAGTGTGCCAGGTAAGAGACACAGGGTAACAACTGTTTTAAGTTAATAAGGATTCTTTTTCCACTTGTTTCAACAAAGCTAGATATACCAGCTTTGGTTAAATTCAGCTAAAGAGTAGCGTCATTCTCAAACAACATTTGCAAATTAGCTATTAATCTTTCTCTTGGATAGTTTTGACTGTTAGAAGTGCCTACATAATATATAACTAACTTGGTAAATTGCAAAAATCTTAGGTGGCTAAATTCTGTTAGAGAAGCCAACCGTTTCTGTTGTGGCTCAGGAAAAATATGTAAAATCTATTTGAAAAAGTCTTGAGATTTTATAAACACAAAATCTATTCTGAATACTGTATTTCGAAGACTTGAGTTCTGGTAAAAACAGCAAGTTATTTCTAAGAACCAATAACTGTATTAAGTACTTAATTTATTTATGCTACTTTATCTGGCAGGTGGAAGGTTCATTCTCAGATAGGAGTACATGTACATTGTTGACTTTTGTGATGGGAATAGGAGTAAAATTGTAAGTGGTGAGGAGTTTGTATGAATTGTGGAATTATATGCAATGGCCTTTAAAAACTCATTAATTAAAATACTTTAATTTTCTAAAATGACTTTGAAGTAGCTGCATCAATCAAAGTAGTTGATCGTAACCTATTGGCATTGGTGATATGATTAAAATATGTAGTGTCAAATTAATAATTAATTAAATAATAAAAATGCTGAAGTGTAGGCAGTTTTGAACTCTAAGAGCATGTTATACCTCTGCTCCTTGATCTATGTTTTTTGCCAGTATATTTTGAGGTTCAAATCAAGGTACTGGTAGTTCTTTATAAAGCCCTACATGACATGGTACCAAGTTATTTGGGGCACCATTTCTCCTCCATTTTATTTACTTTACCCATCAGATCTGGCAGGAGAGACCAGCTATGGGGCTCATCTATGAAAGAATGTCATCTGGTGGGACCCTGAAGATAGTCCAGAGATGATGATTATATTGATGTATGATTTGGAGTGTGTGCTTATAGTTGTATAATTTCATCCTTGCTGCTGATTATGTGTTTGTATATGGAACAAACCTGTTGCACAGTCAGCCTGATGTTAAGACTGGATTTAGCATTTGGCATCTATTGAGTCTTTCTCAAGGACCCAGCATAGGCAGGACCAAGATTTCATGTGCAGCAGACAATGAAAACAGATGCCATAATAAATATCTTTTCATTTTAATTTACCACAACAGACTTTGCTTTTATGGTTTACTCCTAATGGTCTTCCTATACAGAAGTGGAGTTTGAGTAAACTTTAGTGAGATTATAGAGGATCTTTGGGTTTTCTCTTTTATTCTAGTTTAAGGTGAATAGCACTCCTGTATATTTTTGCAGGTTAAATAAGAGGCTTTGTACATTTATATTAGAACATTAAATACTATTTTTTCTTAATGCCCAGGCCTCTTCTTGAGTATTTCTCTGCTGGAGGAGTTTATTATTCTAGATTCTGACAAATTTTGTTTAGTAGTTCACATATTAAAACTTGTAGGGATTGGCGTAGAGAATTCTAGGTGCAGATGTTTCACTACCCAAACTAGATAACATCATCAGTGCTAGTCTGAAAGAAAACAGCTAAGATCTGAGAGCACCAAGAACCCCTTATTTCAACCCTGAGCTACAAATATTTTCTTTTGTAGAATTCTAGGTGTTCTTTCAGCTTGTTGTCTGTAGATGTTTCGTTACCCAAGTAGGTAGCCTAGTCAGTGCTAATGGGTTTGCTCCCTGTTTATATAGCTTACTAATGTTGGTTGGAGTATGGTTTTTCTCTTTGGTAATTTTTTTTATTAGAGTATTGTTTTCTACTTGATAGTTTGTCTGATATTAATCCCTGTTTATCTGGTGTTGGCTGATGGAAATGATGTGATGTTTCTTAGCTTTGTTCTTTCTTTTGTATGGCATGTAAATGTGGTTTATCTCTCAGAGAGTATCTAGGACTCCACATTCAACCCTGAAGTATTCCCTTCTGTTGGACAATAATGATAATCAACCTGACAAATGTAACATTTTCTTTCAGGGGCTCGAGAGACTGACTACCCTACAGGAGAAGAAGGATCACAGGAACCAGACTCTGGGGTAGTGGATAAGTCATCCTTGAGTGGCAGCATAAATAGCAATAGTTCAGCAGAAGCAGACAGTCTGTTGGGAGGAATCACAGTAGTTGGATGTACAGCTGAAGGCATTACAAGTTCTGCTGCTACCCACAGTTCCAATGCTGCTTCGCCTGAGACAAACAAACAGCCAGGTATAAAAAATTCGGTGAAAAAGAGGTTAACTCTCCTTTATGTTGGGTTAAGCTCCTACAAACTTGTAGGTATAATGATGTAGTGTCCTCAGCAACAATATGGAAATGGTTGCCATCCTCCAGGATTTTAGTTTTGATTTCCCAATCAAACTGACAATGCTGCTAGTCAAGTAGGAGGTCTCTTCCTACTCAGCTTCTAGAACATAGCAGTGCAACTAAGAAAACAAATACATTATTATTTAGCATTATATTCATTCCACAAGGCAATTTTATTTCTAACTGCCCCTGACATTTCTAGCTGAAGAGGGAAATCTCATTCTTTTAGAAAATGCAGGAAAAGATACTGTTTTATAATATTCTAAGATGCATTTACATTAATATCACAACACATTAATCGTACAAACCAGTTACATTTTAATCTCCAAGCAGAGGTTGGGATGGAGAGGACAATGTCATTTCCATATGTCCTCTTTACTTACTATTATATTAGATATAATTCTGATATACAGGTAGTCCTCGACCTATGACCACAATTGAGCCCAGAGTTTCTGTTGCTAAGTGAAACACTTATTGAGTTTTGCCCCTTTTACAATCTTTCTTGCCACCATTGTTAAATGAACCAGTGCAGTTGTTAAGTTAGTAGCACAGTTGTTAAGTGAATCTGTTTTCCTATTGACTTGCCAGAAGGTCATAAAAAGTGATCACTTGACCCGGAGACACTGCAATAGTAATAAATATGAACCAGTAGCCAAGCTTCTGAATTTTGAACATGTGACCATGAGGATGCGGCAATGGTCATAAGTGTGAAAAACGGTCATAAGACACTTTTTTTCAGTGTTGTCATAACTTTGAATGGTCCCTAAACGATCTGTGGTAGGTCAAAGACTACCTGTATACTGATGCTGATATCGGCATTTATTGTTATGTGCTTAAGCTTTAGGCTTGATACTCCTGCAACAGTAAAAAGACAAACCAAAACTTTAATTCCTATTTTCAATTAATCTTAGCCTGGCTTTATACTGCAAGCTGTAGATAGGACGTTCTGTATTTCAGAAATTATGCTAACTTCAATGAATGTGGAAAAAGCAGTTCAACTTTATTGGGTGGAATAAATACATTTCTCCATGCTTTTTTTTAGTATTTCTCAAGAAGTGTGTGACTGAATGGGACTTGAGTTTTATTGCAACACCCAAGCTGTAATTCTTGGTTCCTCAATAATAATTTAAAATTGTCTTAGTTCCCAAAATAATTGTTTTTAAATTTAAAGACAACAGTGAGCAATGGTTAGTTTTAACAATTTATGATTCCTAGTTGAGTGGAAAAAGGAAAGACGGGGATGAGAGTGCGCATAAAAGTACCTTCACAAAATGCTAACCGTATTAAGCATTGCCTTCAAAAAAGCCTTTATATTGAGGTAGCTTGTCCTTTGTTTCTGGGTGAATTATATTAGGACTGATTATCAGTGTCTTTTAGTGTGGTTCAGCTTGGAAGGAAAAAATAGATTCTATTAATAAATAGCTGCCTTAAATATTTGCTTGAACTGAATAGGGTGTATAAATTAAATTAAAAAAATAAGGACAGTCACCAATGAACTGGAAAATTAAAATAGGTTGTATATAATGATGAAATAATTCTATGTTCACTGCTAAGTTCACAAAGAAGGCTACGTTCAATTGGAAAGAATCTTAAATGTATAACCTCTTGGAGTAGTGTCATATTTTTAATCCATTTCAGTTTGTGGGTGCAATATGTTATTTTGAGGGCCAGGATCAAGAACGTATACACTGATGTTACATAGCAAGTCGATAAGATGGGTGAATTCCTCACTTCTCACTATCAGGCTTCCTGTATCTTAATTTAAGTACAGCTTCTTAGTGGAGAAAGCAGAAGGGAGTGTTTGAAGGAACCGAAGAGGAATTACTAATTAATATACTTAAAGTCATGCATGCTTCATAACAGCAGGGAGCTGAATGATCATTCAAGTTCACCTATAATTGAAAAATTTACTCAGATGTTTCAGCTGAAAATGATGCAGTAGATGAGCATATTCAGACAGCAGAGGAAGCCACTGAAGCAACAGAAGTCAGTGCTGGCTTGGGAGAAGAAGTAGCAGATATTGCGCAAAGTGGCGTTTACACAGAGCATGTCTTCACAGATCCTTTGGGAGTCCAAGATACTGTGGAAGGTTCTCCGGCTTTCCAGTCTAGGTATGCCTATTTTGTACTAGCAATATGAAGCGATGGTTGGAAATACTTATTGGATGGTTTCTCCCCATCCAATAAAATCTGGAAGAGTGGTCCGCCTTTGGATCTCTTCAAATAAATGTCATCTGCATGAATTGGTGGTGGGGCAAGTAGGACAAACTTTCTCAATCTCAATTCTTTGGAACTGGACTCCCCATTCCTTAATTAGACTACATTCTTCTCTATTAACTTTCAGAAAGTTATCAAACCCTGACTGTTCCAAAGAATTTGGAGTGAAACATTATTGGGGAAAAGGAGGTCCCCTCTTTAGTATGCATTGGTGTATTCCTTGGCATAAAGTTCACTGCACTTGTAATTTGCTTGGTCTTGTTGTTTCTTTTGCCATTTTAATGTACTCTTTGCAATTCTCTTACTGGAAAGGGTTTTGTAATCTTCTCCATAAATTACAGTGACATTTAAGCCCAAGCAAATAAGGAAATAAGCAAATTATTCTGTGATTCACGTAGTTGCAGCACTCAGATTTTAAATGGCACAGGTAAGCATGGCATTAGCATAACTTCCAATATTATTCATTTAGAATAAACACACACATACACACACACACACACCATCTTAATAAATAATATTGTGCTGCTTACAATACAAAATAATAAAAATAAAATAAATACAAATGAAATAATATAAAAATACAAAACACATCTGAATTGGTTATTTCAATACTTCAGGCTTAACGTATCCTTTTGCAATGAGAGAATCTTTGGCAGTCTTTACATATTATTTAGAGTCAGAAACAAAAGTAGCAAGATGAAATACTTGCTTTATATGAATGGTCAGGAATGCTGGTATGTATTTATTTAAATTCCTTCTTCTTGCTGTCTATTTTTTCTTTAATGTTATTCATGTATGAGGATCCCAACCATTTTTTCCCCTAACAAATTGGAATCTGAAGTCATGATTTGTATATGAGTTTTAATTCTTGTCTTATAGCAAGCAGAGATTTCAGTTAACGTGAGATAAGCCTTCCTAGTTCTGCTGTTTCTCCTGATGGGAAGAACCAGTAGACCCAATTGCATGGTGCATTTCAGCATGCTTGTTTTATTCAATGGAGGAAGATATCTAGCTTGGGGTACTCTTCTCTCTAACTTCTGTAGCCAAGACCATCTTTGTTTGTGTCCTTAACAGTAGAGAAGACGACAATCCCCCAATCTGGTACACAAGTTGTCACAGGAACCCCTCTTCTACTTTTATCTTCATTCTATACTTTCTGATCACTCCAGCGTCTCTAGAGGCCAACAGCTTCCTTTTCCCCTTAGAGTTTTCTGATGACACTTGTGCTTTTTAAGTACCAGTTTTCCAAAGTGTAGATGGCTGATCTTCTCATTTATCCCATGATTGTTTGATAATAGCAGGATAGACTTGGAATATCATACAGTGTCCTTTGGGATAATCGAATTATCCTCAATTCCCATAAAAGATAAGAAATCTGAGGTTTCTTCCAGATTCTTCCTCTACCAGTGATTGATGGAGCCATGCTTCATCCAGAATTAGGCCAGTGGATTAGGCCAGTAGTCATCTTAGAGGTTATTGTTTGCTTCCTGGAATGTCTACAGTCCTTTTGCATTTGGAGCAGGACAAAGAGGATTTGGTCCCTCTGCATCTTGGTTCCTCAGGTGCTTGTCTTTCTTCAGACTGGACTGGATCAGTGCCCGCAACTGAGCACATTAAAATGGAAATTCTCAATATTGCCACCAATTTTTGCAGAGGCTGAAAGATGGTCTTTATCCACACACTCCCACATCAAGTTATTCTTTCACATGCCTTTTATTGAAGTCTTCGTATATATACCAATTATTCTTATGAGAGTTACATCTGTTCTTAAAATCCCTGATCTGTGACACATTCAGACCATTTATACAATGGCTCTGACTTGGAAAATTATTTTCTTAACATCTGTAAAATCTGCTCTCTGAGCATATCCTGTTGGCATACAAATATAATTTATGCCCTAATGTCTGTTAAACTTTCTTCTGATAACAGGATCTTTTTCAGATGCCCACTCATCTGAAAAAAACAGTGGCAGAAGCTGGACATCCACAGTTATAACAACCTGGATGAAGAATCACTGTCCCTCAAAAAAATTTCTTCTTTTTTGAGAAAGTTTCCTTAAGTTTTGGCAATGGTTACCAGTGTACCTGTGCTGTCCTCCTTCTATGAAGTTCAGTTAGCTATTGACGGCCCGTGGGCCGGATGCGTCACATGCAGGCCATGCCCGCCCCAGCTCCATGAATGGAAATGTCACGAAACGTCACGTGATGCCAATGTGATGCCGCGAGTTTGCCACCTATGTTCTAATGTATGCATACTCATGATGTAACTTGTAAATCATTAACAGCCCCTTTTGTGCTTGTTTCAAAATATCAATTAAAACAGATGAAAATTCCACAGGGCCAGGGCTACCACTGAGAATGCCCTGGTCCTAGTAGTTTTCAGTTAAGCTAGGCCTCCACCCGGTGAGACATTATGTGCGGAAGAAGACTTCTTATCAAAGTTCATTGATTGATTACATGTCATCTAGTTACTATCATTTTGTAGCAACTTCATAGATAGATTTCCCTAACTTGTTCTTCCGGGTCTTCCAATGGTGCACTTATTGTCTTGTAATTAAGTCTATCCACCATGCTGCTGGCTCTCGTCTTCTCTTTCCTTCTGTCTTTTCCAGCTTTCAAGCATTCTTCAGATAGCCCAAATGAAGATCATAGCTTCCAGAAAACTGCATACGAGGAAAGCCATTTCCAATAAGCAGAGCCCAAGCTTTTTATTTATTTATTTATGTGTAATAATAAGCAATGTGAATTTAACTCTGCTATCTAATGGAGGCTAGAGTACATTGGCTAGAATTGGTGTGTTAAGCTTTTGATAGAAGCCTGGCTGTTATTTTCTGCTTATCTCACATTGAATATGCTACAATAATTTGAATAAGAAATGATCAGTTTTAACCAGTTTTGGTATCCCAAAAAGGACATAATTAATGTATCACTTGCAGCTGGAAATGCACACTCATTATCATTGGCTGGCTTTTAATATATGTTTTAGTGACTTTATAAACCCAATAAATAAGGGTAGAAATAAAATGCAAAACTTGTCATTGTAGATTGAGCAATTCAAACAAAACTAAATAAAAGTTTAAATTAAAAAACTTGATAAGCTGACATCATTATTAAAAAATTAAAAATAGCTATATAAAGCATGCCTTTTCCTAATAGTACTAAAATACTAATCACATCTTTATACAAATTGATGCATATGTTTAAACAAAAAAAATGCTACAAATTTATCAACAAATTAAATCTTGATCCTGTAGAATGATATTTTCCAATACTGTAAAATACCAAGGAGGTATATAGTTTAACAGCACATTCATTGTTTTAAGCATTACCTTCCACCCAAGGACTTGGTTCATCATGGTAATAATATCTAGAAAAAGGAGACTGCCATTGGATATGACCAATAGCAATAGCACTTAGACTTTATACTGCTTCACAGTGCTTTACAGTCCTCTCGAAGCAGTTTACAGAGTCAGCATATTGCCCCAACAATCTGGGTCCTCACCAAAGCTTATTCATTAATGTACCTTCAAAGTTACATTTTCCATTATGGGACAGACAATAACCATTCTTTATTAAATGTGTTGGAAAGTTTTAAAATCATATGAAACAGAGGTCCGTTCATACTGGTTCGAACAGGTTTGGCTGAATAGGTAATAACTCAGCCGGACACATGACCAAACCGGTTCTATCCTCAGCAGCACCATCTTGATTTTCTGTTCAGCACATGCGCAGAACAATCTTCATTGAAAAAATGTAATTTCCCCCTCCCCTTTTTAATGTTAAGCATAGAAAATTTTACGGGCGCCGATCTGGTAGTAACGCCGGCAGGAACCCAATCCTGATACGAAAGCTATTTAATAGTTCTGAAAACTTGGCACCATTGATTTGTAATATGGGAAATTTCAATTCTGTATTCCAAATTGTGCTGAGCTGTGTTATACAGTAGAGGGACAAAGAGCGCCCCAAGAGGCAGGGAAAAACAACTCCATGAAGAACAGGAAGAGTCCTTTCTTTCTGATTGAAAACCCAGACCCTTGGGTTTTCTGAATGCAGCTTTAGCCAGGCTGCAGTTCAGTCCAAGCAGGAATGAATGCAAGAGTTTCACTAGACTTGCCTATTCTCCACGTAAACATGCACCCAGTCACTCTCTTGAGATGATTGCTTCCAACATGTAGATGTAGCACACCATTGGGGGAAAGAAGGCTATGTGGCAACTTCCCCAGTACCATGACTGAAACCTGTTTTCGGAGCTGGGCTACTAATTTTCAGCCGTCTTAGATACCAAGATCAATGGCGTTAAAAATAATAATCAAGGAGCACATGTAAGGATATATTTTTCTTGTTATGCTTCCTCAGAAGATTGTTTGTCAGAACAACCAGCATTTTTCCTGCACTACAGCCGAGCTCAAAGATGTTAGGGTAGTCAGAAAAACATACTGTTTTCAGATTGTTCCTTGCCCCCTACATAATGTGTATTTTTCATTGCAATAACTTACACTTTTGTAGGATGTTGAATAATTGGTAGTTTGGGAAAGGGGGCATTTTGAACTAGGAAAATAGCAAACTGGAGTTCACTTCCTAGTATCCCCATTCTATACCAGAGATTGCATTTTTTACGAAATAAATAGAAACCGTTGGTGACAGTTCTGTAATTTTAGGACTGGAAGCTCAGTTGTATTTGATTTGTTGTCAACTGCTAGTGTTTCTCTTAAGCATAGTCCCTTTGTCAAATATTGATGATGGCTGATGTACAGTAGCTGTTTTGTGGTGATAGGGGAAAAAACTATAAGACCCTGGTTTAAAAACATATTCATGCTACAAATTAAGTTTCTGGAATAAGAATTTTCAGAGGAACTATTAAAAATATTACATCAGATGGTAGTTATAAGAATTCATTTAACTCTCCATAGAGTTAATTACCTCAAAACACAAACATTTGACTTAATGTTCTATAGAATTCTTTTAGATTCCAGGAATTTTTTTTTCATGCTTTTTATTTTTTTGACTTTTTCTTCCCTTTTGAGCAGTGAGTCTGAATTGTTTAAAGATGTTGCTGAATTACCAAATGAGCAGGATCTTGTGAGGGAAGAAGCGCAAAAAATGAGTAGCCTTTTACCTACTATGTGGCTGGGAGCACAGAACGGATGGTAAGCCTTTTTTGTACTTTTGCTAATAGTAATATTTTTAGAGTAAGAATACTAAAGATTGGTGTTACACAGAGTTTAAGTTTGAAATTGGTGACTGGACAATTTGGGAAGCTCAAAGCAGTTTTCTCTCTCTCAGACAAGGTTGGAATGGTATCAAACCAGATGTTTTGACTTTAGAGACATTTTGAATTTGAAGTTTTATACCATTGCCAAATACCTATTTTTAACTATTTGTTACAAATTCTAATTTCAGATGAGGTTTTCAGTTAATGGATACTAATTGGAGCTTATCCCTAGTCATTCATTGGCCTGCTTATGATGTGAGACTCAACTAATTAAAGCTGATTCTTGGAAATAAGATTTAGATAAGTGTTACTATTTATGCTGTGGTTCTTATTGAGAAAGAAGGAAAAAGAAAATGTAGACTAGCCTGTGCACTGATGTGAAGGCAGAAGGAGAAAGGCAGTCAGAAGAAAGCAATCATTCTGTCATCAACTAGGAAAGTTGCAAATCATGTATTCTGTATTTCAGTGATAGATTGTTGTTCATCCCAAGTCCTTCCCTGTTTTGTGCTCAGAACAGAGCTAGCTTCTTCCTCTCCTTTAACACATACACTTTAACAATTTTCCACTTTGTAAAATAAACATGCCTTGCTTTCTTTTTTCCTTTGCTTCTGGAAAAAGTGTGTCTGAGGAAATATGAATTCCAAACCTAAAAAGAAAAGTGAACACTGCAGTCTTTCCTGATTAGGGACTAAACCAATTGAATTGGACAAAATAGATACACAGTATACAGTCTGGTTGAACTAAGGATTAGGTAGAGGGTGCTCCTATTATGTTCATCACTGCTTTGGTTTTATTGAACTGATATGTATCACCAACAAAATGGAGGCTTTGGTCCTGTAAGAGTTTTTAGACAAACCTATCCCTGCAGCCCCAAGACAACTAGAGACTCCATATTTGAACCATGCTGGCTAGGGAATTCTGGGAGTTGAGGTCCATGTGTCTTAAAGTTGAGAAACATTTCTGTAGAGAAGTAATGTTTAAGTTAATTACATCCTCTCTTCTACTATTGTAATTTTTTAAAACTACCACTAAGTGATACTGCTGTTCTTCAATGTTAACATGGGCATCAGGATATTGAATTTCTAACTTATTTTAATTTTATTGTTGCAGTTTATATGTTCATTCTTCAGTGGCTCAGTGGAGAAAATGTGTTCATGCAATTAAACTTAAAGATTCAATTCTCAGTATAGTGTAAGTAGTTACAAATTAATTTGCACTTCCGTAATTTAAAATTAATTCATGTGGAGTGAAAATTACTTTTAGAATATGCATTTTTGTTTAACTGCTTACATTTTTATTTTTAAGAAAATAAATATTGAGGTGGTAATAAGTGACAAAGAGGTGTGCTTTTGATCATGAATATATTAATAAAGATCAATCCTGGATATATTTAATTGTTAGAGAAGATGCCTATTCAAGAAATTTTAAAAAAAATCTCAGCCATATTTTCTGACATGATGATGTGAGAGATTAAATGTCTCCTCTATGCTGAGTGATCCTACACTGCACATAGACATTTTAGATTTATTTAAGTCTTCTTCCTGGTTGAGCAAATGTTCTATTGTAAAAGCTATATAATTTCAGGATGAGACTGCACTCATATAAACACCTGTTTATATGCACCCTTTATGTACACAACAAGGTTGCTGGTGTTTAATTCATTGCCTTATCTACAGTTGCCCACCATTTATTTATTTGTTTGTTTGTTTGTTTGTTTGTTTATTTATTTATTTATTTATTTATTAAATATCTATGCCACTTATCTCACTAATACAGCAACTATGGCCAGCTTACAATATAATAAAAATTTTAAAAAGTGCTAAAAATCAATTAAAATTAGAATAAAAAGATTAAAAATTAAAACCCAAGATGATGAGCAGCCTGGGGGTGAAAATCATCTCTATCTTGTCAACTACTCCCAAAGTAACAGCCTCTTACTGGGATCTCAGGCTTAAGCACCAGATCCATGTTTTTAGGCCTTTCTGGGAGGCCAAGAGTATAAAATGTAGAACATGAAAACTTTCCTCCTTTTTATTCTAATGGATCAAAGTTCTCATAAGTTTGACCAATAAACATATTTCAGAAACTGAAGGCCCTTTGAGTACATTTGACTCAGTATGTTAGCTAGTTGTTGATACGATTTTTATAAAGAGACGCCTTCCCCAATATTCATATGTCTTTTACAGATGGCATGCCTTATGGATTCCTACAGCATAGTATTTAAGGGAGAAGAAGCTTAATTGTATCTGAGTGTGTAAATGCAAGTTGAATAGAATCAATAAACAGTCTACTGCTGTTTA